ACTCGGCGTTTCTTTTATTTTTGATGGTTTTTGAAAAATATTTCATTATGATATGACATACGCTCTTTATTTAAAACAATACGATTTTATGTGCATTCACCATTTATACCTAATATACAACAAGCTTCTACGATTTAAAAATAAACATTTATTCTAATGTCATATAAATAATATTATAGCAGTTTGGTCGTTTATTACGAGCCTAAGGAAACGATTTCAGAATGGGATTTAGCCTGATTCAATCTGACATGTTCTCATGCATTATTGCTTGTATAATATAGATTACGTTCGGAATTAAATAAAAACAACAAAATTTATATTAACCAAATTTTAGAATCACTAAGAACCACTTTTTGTGTACAGAAAATGGTAATGAATTACGTTTGTATGCGCTTTTACTGGATCCATGTATATATTACATATATAATTATGTATATATACCTTTATGTTTTTATGGGCTTAATTTCGCCAGATTATTTTCTAATTGTATAATATTTTACCAGCAAACCGTATACTAAATATATTGTGACCGTATATAGGTTATATTTCCGCAATCGTGATTAAAAACGTATACATGTATAAATTTACCTATAGTTTCGTCTAATGCCAACAATTCTATAAATGGAAGAGGTAGCAAAAAATTATAATTGATTTATAACTATATACGCTGTGATCTTTTTTAGTAAGCAACACTCATCTTCTCGATTTATGTGATTGTGAAAAATTTGTTTTTATACAATTCTCATTATTTAAGAACATTTTAAAAAAAAAAAAACTAAAATTAATTATCTTTTTTCAATTTTTATTGAAATGTAGTTTAAAGTTTTTCTTCTTCTTTTTCTTTTTTTGATATTTATTATAATTATATAATACATAAGAATACGTTTATTATTATGTATACGAATTACTATATTACATAATGAGCCAAATTCTATTGTTTACATGAAATAATATTTTAATAGGTTTCGTGAATAGCTATTCGTATAAGTTTTCCGGTTTTATGCGGCAGTGTATCGACCTAACGTTTTATAAACTCTTAACGAAAACTCCATTGAGGACCATTTGAAATATAAATGTGAAATACCATGTATATTAACATTCAATCCCGAGCGTGACGAAATGACGCATGGTTATCGCAAAGAAGATTTATGGATTTCTTGTTTCGCGCCTGTCAACGTCGAGTTTTTTAGCGAATATTTGACGAAAACCCGAAAAAGAGTGACGGTGAATAATCAGCGGTATAACACACTAGTATACACATAAAATATAAGTATATGTACTTTAACTTACATGAGGTTGTATTATACCGCCAAAGAAGGTGGCGGCGAAAAGAACACGTTAAGTCGTCTCGTGTTACGTGTACATGGTGACGAAGATGACGTCCCTTCCTGTGGCAACCTCCCCTTCGTCGTTCACTCTTCGATCAAAACAAATCCTTTACTTCACTCTTTGAGTTTCGGCGGATATCTTTTCGTTCGTATCTGTACACGTACGCGTGCAAAGGGCTTTTCGATACATAATATCCCAGAAACGTCTCTCCTTCTCTCTCTCTCTCTCTCTCTCTCTCCCTCTAACTCTAAATATGTATATGCTGTGCAAATCCATCTGCGCTAGGTACACAATATGATGGGGGTGACTGCGGAACATTGTATACGGCTATGTGGGCAGGAGGATTCCAGCGGAATTTGTCGCCGCAGTCGATACGATTATTTATGTGGCATTATCACGTGTATGTGTTCGTATTCGATAGTGGTACGTTTGATATTCGCACACAGGTGTGTGTACGACGGCGACGGCGTGATGTACATGGGGTAATATTGTTAGGTGTGCATAGCAGTAGCGCATTAGTGCATAGTAAAATATGGTAAACCGAAGCCGTTGTGTGTGTGTGTGTGCGCGTGCATAAATACACGTATATATTACGAACAGTTGTGTTCTGTCACCGTGTAAACTCTATGTACGCGCACACAAGACCATTTTAGGCCATGTAGAGGCCCACGGGCACCTGGAGCTTAGGGGTCTTTTTAGTAAACCAAAAAAAAGTGAGTAAAAACATCAAAAGCTTATTTTGTACGATGATTTTTGTATAGCCGGAAGATATGAGTTATTCGTTTTAATGAACATTTTTTTTTTAAATAATGGGATGAAAAATAAAATATACCTAATTACACACAATTATTATTTATTTGACATTAACATTTCAACATTGCTGTTTATCTAAAAATTTTTTGTCTACATTTAAGAATTATTTTTTTTATTATCAATCGTATTAATACGTTACAGATTAAAATTCAAAGTTGTAATTCCTATTATTCGAGGCCCCCAGCCAGATGGAGGCCCTGGGCACGTGCCCCAAGTGCCCATAGGGTAAAGATAGAACTGCGCACATACGATTAACATAATGTTTCACATCGGTTTTACCTCGATCCACGGGGATCCGTCTTCTTGGTAGCTCTGCAGAAAAATGGTGCGATGTTAGATATTGTTCAATTATCACATGTGCATATTTTATTAAATTCAAAAAACGAAAGCCCGCGAACCCGGTCCAAGTTCGAAAATCTTCTAATGCGTGGTCAGCTGGTACAAAACGCTTGGAAAATAACATAAGGCCGTCGACTACTTCGTTCGCCCTTCCTCTCTGCACCTCCAATAATACCCTTGCAGTGTTTTACACTTGTCCGATTTGCTATACGAACATAGTTGGAAAACTCGTACTCGTCCTTGCGTATTTCGAACTTGTTACAAAAACAATCAACAAATAAACTATTATGGTTGTAAACATTTTATTGTGTGTGTGTGTTTACTTATTTTGTGGACACGGAGTACGTGTAAGTATTTAAGTTGTAATTTTTTCGAATCTTGTGATACAATGTTTTATAATATAACGTTCGAAATAATACACAGGAATAGTGAGTTAATAATCGTTCCAATTTAATTATTTTGAAAATATAATATTTAATATAATTTCCGTTTTAAAACATTTATTTTGTTTTAAAGATTTTCGATTTTCAAGTCCCTTTTAATAATAGTAAACACGGTAACGCATTTTTATTTCTTATTTCTAAGTAAACATAAACTTTCTAATTATTATTTAACCACTTGCTTCGATAGTTTAGAGAAAATATTTTGTTTCAGAATTCGAAAATTATATAAAGTATTATCTATTTGAAAAATTAAAATTGAAAATGTTATTAGGTCAAAAAAAGAAAATTTAATTATTTTTTTTCAAATATATATAAAAATTAACTGAAAAAATAATGGGCAGTAACATAAAGAATCATCCATTTGGTTTTCTGTTATGTTAACAGAGCTCGTTTAACGTTAATCCACGTACAAAGCATTGTCTAATGAAAAAGTTTTCACTCGCCCGGAGACGTCATTGGATGTGCTTTGCGGTTAACCGTACCGCCGCCGCGATATAACAGCACATGCAATTGTTTCATACGTTATACACGTGCATTGTTTACGTTTTATTCATACGCAAAATTCACTTCGTAACGTTGAAGATTTATATTCTAAGCCAATTCCTATTTATTTATTTATTTTTTACTCGTGTCAAAACTGCTATCGATTACTTTATCGTAGTTTCAGTACACGCTTATGTGTGTAATGCCGTTGTACGCTATAGTGTTTGTTTTTTCTATCGAAACGACCGTCAGAGAGGTCTTTGTCAGGGAAGTGTAGAATGCAGTACACACGATAACTGATTAATTGTTATTGTATTATCTTTTCATTCACACAACCATGTAAATCCGATTAGAACTGGAATCGGATCGACGAAGTCATAGTAAACACAAACAATTGGGACGTTTTTTTGCGCGGAAAAATAATATTACCATGATCATGAACCGCACTTGAATGTCCGTCGAACGCAATCGAGACGACGACGTGTTCGCGTCGCGGAATGTTATTGTAAACGTCTAAAACGTGTATAATGTTACGAGTATGTATTGCCGTGCGTTAGAGGTACATAATAGTGCGCGCGCGCGCACAATCACGTTTTTACATGTATTACGGATACTTGCAGTGATAACTTGTAGCTAGAATTTAGAAATCGAAAGAGTTACGCAAAAACACCTATAATTCGGCATCCATTAATCCTTGGACTGGCCGGTTGCAGTACGCAGATTTGTCTCCTCATTTGCGTATCTATATCCGATTATTCAAGTCTGATTCGCGCACAAATTACAGTTAATGAATAATGGCCATCGAATAAGCGCTGTAGCAATTGACATTCCTGAACATTCCACAACAGTACCGTCGTCAACGGACGGCCATTTCACTGGGAATATACACTTGTTATCACTTGCGCTTATTGCACTGCAATCGTCACGGATTGCAATTGTACGGTTTACGAACAAATATACGTTGTCCGAGTGACCACCGACTTGTCAGCTTACGTCTTTCTACGAGGCATCGATCGGGATGACTATTTGTGTAGTACTACTAACGACTGTGTAATATGTGTATACGAAAATAAATTCACGCGTTTAAAACATGTGTGTAAGTATAATAGTTAACTTTATTGCAATAAAATCATTTTTCATTGTATGCATACATCAAACTTATACTTAAACAAACGGTAACCACAATTAATGCACACTATTATAATGCACATTATAAGGTACTTAATACAAATTTATTTGACTATACGTAAAGATAATAATTGGTAACTAACCTATAACGGTTGTAATGTAAATAACTATAAAATAAATTATTAGACATAGTACATAGATCTATGTTTATATACAATAATGTAATAAAATAAATTAAGAAAATTCGAATTTGTACAGATTTAGATAATAAATACATATACAATGTTTACACGTGATTAAAGTCGTGCGCACGAAATCGCTATGTATACTATGTTATATATATATATATATATATATATATATAAATATAATATATCAATTGAAAAAAGTATTTTTATTATTACGAATATACTTGAAACGTACGTACAACTGTACGTATTTTATTTAATGTATACGATGAATATATATGTGTGGATTATTTTTATTATGATTTACTTAACGTTGTGATCTAAAGAATTAACACAGAGATAGAGATCTTATTTACAAGTATTTGCTATCCGTTGCCAATGATACGTGTAGGAAATTCAATCGACTTGTGTGATTTTTCTTTAGGATCTCTGGTCTACCATAAGCTGAAAAGGCCCTGACCTTGTGGTCCTGTAAAATACATAAATATTACATAGAAATTATTAATAAATTAAACATAGTCGTAAAAGACGTACAATAACTTGTGATAACGATAAACGAGTAACGAAATATTAATGAAACTGATTTAAAATCAGAAATTTTGGTTGCAAAAAATTGTTATGACAATCAATTAAAACATTAACAATCAAGAACATTTAAAGCAGCTAAAGAGTATCGTTGAAAAATTTGTTTTACCAAACTTATACAAAATGCTACATTTAGCACTTGCAGTTCCAACAAGTTCCGCATTTTGTGAAAGAACATTCTCAGCAATTTGTCGAATAAACACTTACATAATACATAATGTTAACTATATTACCAAATCGTTTTTCTAAGTTAGCAATCATAGCAATTGAAAGAGATTTGTCAAACATTCTAAACAAAGAAGACATTTTAAATAAATTTGCCAATACCGAGCGGAGGTTTAAGCTGTAATAGTTATAAAATTCCTTTAAATTTTTAATTTTTAAGAAAATTTAACTTATATCTAAAATAATACCTACTTAATAAATATGTTAATATTTTAATGTTTACCCCAATATCACTTTTTTATTTGTCTGATACATTGTATATTAATAAAATAATATTATAATTTAATAAAGAATATTATTTGAGGGACGAGTTTGGGTGGCATGGGGGGACAAAGCCCCCCACATTTTTTACTCATTTTAAACATGTTTGGACTAAAGCCCCCCTAACTTTAGGATCTAGTTACGGCTATGGTGTTCTGTCGACTGAAAGTTTTAGAGGTGGATAAAGTTTAAATCCCGTACCATTCGTCTACACCGTATACGGTTTTTTTTTCTTATAATATAGTGCACGGCCCAGGGAAACGTTAAGACGCGCGAATGTACTGGGTAACCTTTGCACGGTCGAGTGAAAAATCATTATTATTATTATCATTATTCAACACGTAGAAATGATGATTATGACGAACGTCATCGTCGTTTCGTATAATACTTCTACGTATATATACATGTACAATATATTTGGCTTTGAAGTGTGTCCTAGAATTTGTAACCCGAACATTAATATCCGGCGCTGCTCTTAGATATATAATATAGCGTACGTAGTACGGTGCATCGTCTTCATTAGCGTCTCTCGCGTATCTCCATCCCCCCCTCCCCGGTGCCGCACAAAGGGGCCGTTTCCGGACTGGGCGGACGGACCCGCGCCTGGTCCGAAATGTTCCTTATTCAATAACATCCGCTGCTGCCTGCAAAAGACTTATCGGCAGTTGCCACACTCTCGTCCCGCGGCTGCAGCTCCTGCGGTCGGACGCGTATTATTGCTGTGCTCGCGCGCCCTTTGAGTTCGGGTCTCTAAATTAACCTCCGCGTTCCCGCGCACCACCCGAAACACCGGCGGCTGCCGAAAGGGATTTCGCCCGCACCCCGCATTCCGCCGCGCGCGCTCACGTAATTACCGCCGACCAATAACTCGACGCACTGCGCTTGGTGGTGTACGTTATGCGCGCACGGTCCGAAACTATCCGAACAATTCGTAGCGCGCGCGCGTCCGCTCCGGCCGTCCGCCGTGCCCGAGAGAGCGGTCGCAGTAATAACAGTTGTAAACGTCCGGACACGTGCGATGACCGGTCGCGGCCCGACAAAACCGTGTTCGTGCGCGCAAGGAAACGTCACAAAACTGCACGTCGCGCGTCGGACGTTCATTAACAACGTCTTGGCTATCCGGAGAATGTTGCCCGAAAACTTTCCGGACGATCGAGCTTTTAGTAGGTCTTTTAGTTTGACGACATCTTGACGGGCGGCGACGAAATCCGTATCGTTCATTTCGTCGCGACAACCGAAGACCCGCCGCGGTCGTCGGTTCGTCGAGAATTCTCGTGGACAAACGAACCGTATGTGGGGGCTGAAGTTATGGTGGAAATGGGCTGAGAAAAGACAGCTAATCGTGATCTACGGTCGTTATAGATAAAGCGTTGAAAGCATATCCAGTCAAAGACTGGATCCCGTCGTAAGCCCCGTTTTTATCCTCTAGTTTTTAATATCGTTTTCACGGTAACGAAATGCTACAACAGCACTGAAACACGATGTAACGACTGCAACAACATGTATTTATTTGTATACAATATGTGTATTGAGTTACGACAACGCATATTTGCATGTGTCCATGTAGTCGTCGACGAATTCCAAACGTTCATTGGCAATCGTAAAACATCGATATAATTTACATTATACGTGAATTGTAATTAATAATCATAATATTTTGATCATCCCGTGCGCGTTCAATGAAACCGACTAAACCGATTAACGGTCAATTAAAACACGATTATCCGGTGAGCCGATGCAATGGTTAAAACAGAACGGTCGTACACGTATAATATCGAGGTGATAATGTGTGCACGAGTCACATGCAACAGTGATTATATTCTTAAAATGTTAATAACAGCAACAACAGTATTATTGTATTAGATTAAGGTGCGCTTACGTTTGTTGCCGCCGGGCGGTACGAATCCGAAACCCGAAGCGCCCACTATTACGCCGCTCGTTTCTGAACCCGGTTGTGTGACCGGGAACGTGACTGGTCCTGTTTGACAAAATGACAGAAAAAAAAAAAAAAAACAAATTATCAAGATCACAAATCGTTATTGTAGGGGTCGTTTATGTGGCAGCCGCCCGCCTCCGAAGGGCCCTCCAATATTTTGTTTCTATACTCGCCTCGGTTTTCTCTCGGGTCCCGGTTGCTTGGCTGCTGTTGTGCGGGCGCCAAAAAGTCACCGAAGTCGAACTGAGCCGACGCGATCATCAGGTGGCAGAGGACGACGCACAAGACGATCAATACCTGCGTTGACAAAAATAATAAATCAATTTTAACGGATCCCCGTTCGATCGTATACATCGCGGGGGCATCGTTGTTCGGGACGAGACCGACGGTGATTTTTATTGTTATCATTATGATTTGATTTTTCACAACCCTTACCACCAGCACGTTTACGATCCGGTGGAATCGAACAAGCCGCGGCACAATACGTTTCCGTAAATCGCCTATACCAGTCCCGTGCAATATTATACGTGTTGTGAATACGGACAGATCGACCTATCCAGCAGCTCCTAATGGTCTACGCGTGCGCGAGTTGTGCAACGGGAGAACTTCCGTCGTGCGTATACACCCACGTAAACAAGATGCAAAACAAACACGAGTTGACGGTAACGAACGAGCCGTGAGGGCCACGGGTTCTCGCGAGCGTGAAATCGATTAGATCGGAAATCGACCGAGACGTGTTTTCTTCGGAACGCGCTCCACATCTGCGCGCGGGCATGCCGTTCGAGTAAACGTGCGCACTACGCGTAAACACAAACGCAGATATTACGGCGACGGTAATGACAACAATAACGACCGCGTCGCAGTGACAGGTGACCGGATTCGCTCGGAGAGGAAAAGTAATCGTTCATATTTTCCCGTCGAGACGACCAGAAGGATCTGGCGTGGAAATTTCCGTTGTTCTCGCGGACGGCATAGATCGCCGAACACTATCGTTATTGCTCCGCTACAAAATTACGGTGGCCGGCCCGGGCGAACGCGTCACACGTTTACGAGCTCGTGTCGTTCGCGCCGTTATTGCGTCCACGCGCAATGCATTCCCCGCACAGGTGCACAACGCGTAGGGTCGTCTTGTACGAGTCGTTGTAGAACGGAGCGCGTAGGCGTCGCAAGTTGTGCAAAAGTCAACGGGACCCGACGCGTAATGAAACAGTTTTTGCCCGCTGTTTCCACCTGGAAATGTTGCCGTTTACGCGTATTTATGGCGCCGCGGTGTGCCCACAACGTGTTGCGTAGAGGCACGTTGCCGCGATCTTGTTAACAACACCGCGACCCGGGTAACAGGTGTATCATGTGGAGTAGGTGCGCACGTGTGTCACATCGAGGAGTCACGAATCCAAAAAGCAGCTGCTGCACCCACGCCAAAGTCCCGTCGTGATAAACGGCTGACGAAAACACAATAATTATTACTATAAACTCGTGCGCTAATGGAACACGTAGGAAGGAATCACGTATTTACAGACATATCGAGATTGCATACGTTATTTTATATGTCATGTGTGTGCTTACACTACGGATCGTATATACTACATGTATTTTATGCGCGCACGTGTATTGCGGTCCGAGTTTATAATTGGTTTTCAATTGCGATCGAACCGCAATCACGACGGCACGCGCGAATCATCTCGTGTACGTGTTATTATGCGGCTGCGAGCGACAGGACAATCTTTCGACGTGTACTTTCGCGTGCGGTAGCAAATCGCATTCAGCAGCGAAAACTCGACGTGAAAATACTCGTTTACGACGGTTGACGATCGTTACCAACGGGATTTACTACGAGTTCAGAATCTCAATATAATCTACCGTCTTTGCGCCGCAACGATTTTTATTATATTATGATTTATGTTCAATGACCGTTTAGATATTACATCGATGCTGCTCGTAGGTCATGTACTGATTTCAGTTTTGTGAAATGCATCAAACGAACGATAAATAGATGGAGAAAGAGAGAGAAATCAACAACCTATTAGGAGGAGAATATTAAAATTTAAGTTCTACTTGATCGGTGCTCGTCCTATGCCATAATAATATTATTATGTAGTGCATTACGTGTGAGGTCCGGACCGCGAGGAACTTGCCGGCAAACCCGTATAAACGAAATACGTAAACGAAGAGTAAATCAAATTGTTATTATAATGTTCGGTAAAACACGTTTACGGAGAATTTCTATGAGAAAATTTTTGTCAAAAACGCACGCGCGCTCGCGAGTAGTGTAGAAAACCGGTCACGTAATGTTTCCCGTTTTAAACATTATAGCACTTCCTGCTGCACAGCAAATTGAGTTGAAAATACAACGTATCAGTAATAATTCGTTTGTCGCCAAAAACGAAAGTAGAAAATACCGATTTTATTATTCGTACATCAATTACGAGTGTATATAGTTGCGTGCGCTGCAAACCGCTTCGTACGGACCGCCCGTGCCACCAATCCCGTACCGATCCCCAACAGTACAATAGATTCGATCCGTAAGCGTACGCATAGAGATCCGTGATTTTTATTATCACACGTCGACGACTGAATCATATGCGACGTACCTAATTGCTCGTATTAGAAATCCATTAACCGCGCAGAAAAACTGTATACTATACGCTGCTTGTACGACATAATGTACATGTACAGTCTCGTCGTACCAGTCAGAGCTGTAACTAGGGTGAGGCGAGCGAGGCGCTTGCCTTGGGAGCCTAAAGTTGCGGGGCGCAAAAATATTAAATAATTAACTTATTTCAAAAAATGTTATTTCTTGTTTCGCTAGAAACCTAATTACAATTTTTCAGATTTTTCCTAATCGTATTATACATATTAAAAGCTGTTGAGTGTGATAACCCTACAACCTAGGGGACGCATTGTTTCAGTTTTGCCTCAGGAAAAAAAAATAGCTCGGTACGGCATAGGTACTAGAACGTCTTCCTCCGCCGATACAACACGAAAACGTAGAGCGGTTAACATTACAATATTTTTAAATTTATCGTAATATTATGCATTGTGCGTTTTGCTTCAGTTTCACGTACAAACGCTGGACGACGACATCATATTTGATCGGATTATTACCGTCGGCCGAAATGTCCACGTTAGCCGACGACCGTCGTCGTGTTTGGAATTTGGAGGGTTCCGCTATTAGGATGATGAAAAAAACGCACACGTCGAAACCTCTGTATTCGCGAACTTTTCAAACGTCCTGTTAAACCAATACGCACTCGTGTACGTCTTATTCTCCCGACAGCCGACGCCGCTGTCTCTTGACGGCCGACGAAGGTTTCGTAATACAACATGATGCATATGACACGATAATAGCGACTAGTGGATGTTCTTGAATCTCGAATAATATAATCGGACGTTCGCAAATGTACCCGTTACGTGCACAGAACAGTTTTCGTTGCTCTAAGAGATTTCGGCGTAACGAAGCATAAATTGATGGGATTTAGAATTTGAACTCGCATTTTATCAATTAAATAGTTTATGCGTGATGAATAAAGATCCCTTATTAACCTGTGTTTAACAACAAAATCTCTAAATAAAAAATAAATAAAAATCACTAAATTCAATCAGAGTAATTGCATTTGTTCGATGCGTTCAACAGGAGGTAACTTAATGCGTTTGTTGGACATGGCCTTAAACGTAGGTTAGTTGTAGAACGTGTCGATTTCACATGTCGATCCGTCGGTATTTTCGATCGAAAAAAACGAACTTCCAGTACGTTTTATCATCGGTCCACGGACGGGACGTAAATGTTTCCGTTGTTGGTTCGTCGTACGATTATTACGTGCAACCGATGTTATCGGTTATAACCATGTCCGTATCACGTCTTAAAAATTTAAAGAAATAATAGATATAGATATTCAACCCGTAATTAAGATATATATCTTAAAAATATGACATTGTACATGCAATATCACAAGTGGTCGTCGGCGGTTATCATAACTCAACGGCGGACTTGCGGTGTTTTCCGTCGTTACGAACGATCTGCCCCGTGAAATCGCCAATCGTTCGTTCGCGGTGTAACATTGACACACAAAAAATACAAAACACGATTTGCATGGGGCAATGTCGCGGCGGCCGACCACGCAGACCTATATAACAACATTCGCACGCATACGTGTCTCTGCGCATGTCGTTTTGTCGTCGTCGTCGTACTACAATTATCGCCATTCAACCTTTCTTAACGCCACGACAATAACAACAGGCATACACGTATAATAGCACAATGTGTATTATACTTGTACGCGCTATAACACGAACGTGGTTATGTTATATGTGTATATACTCGAGTGTAAAACGCAGTGGATATACGGTTGCCAAACGTGACAATGGACATCCTGCAACCGCCGCCGCCACGATCGCACGCGATTTACGCGGCGCAATGTATCGGTCATAATATTATTATTGCGAGCGCTTATCGTTGAACGAATGTTCGGACGTTTTATGGTCCGAACGACAAGTCCTGGTCTTACGTCGGGGAAAAACGCAGGAAAAAATCCCTTTCCTGACGCTGAGATTATCCTTCGAAACGTTCGGCTTTACGCGGTCTATAGATATCGTTCATCTGTTCTTGCAGAAGATATTTGGAGCTTAAAATGCCTGGTAAAAAAACAATACTTGGAAAAACACTCGGCGAATCGGCAGTGATTGCGTAGAAAGCAGAGACAGTGTTCGGCAACAAATGGCACGTGGTAGAACGAGAATTCGAGGGAAACGTTTTTACTCGGGCCTCGTTCTTGGTAACTCCGTAGTCGTACCGTTTTGATTTCGAGCAGCCCAACTATTCGAGACGCGCGGTTTCGTAGTTTTACCGAGACCTCATACTTGGAACCGATCACCGTTCTGCAAGCGCATTCGTTTCGATTGTTATACGAACCGTAATAATGTATTTAACGGTCGAATTTAATTTCACAAAACAGTAACAATCCCATCTGTGCCTCGCCCGGCACGTGGTAAATTATTAAATGTCGGATGGCTATCGGATATCATTTCGTGTTTGGCCAACGTAGTGGAGTTCTGCAATAATTATCGACGAATGATTTTCGATCCGAACCGGTTAGACGTGCACATCTTCCGCTCGCGGCTCGTATTTTATTACTATTTGCATCTACGATTTGTAAAAAGCATTCCGCCCAACCCGAAAAAAATTGTTGTAAGAACGTATTCACGCAACTGCCAATCCGTAATGTAGTGAGCATGTGTGTGTGTGTATTATAAGTATGCGTACTCGCACACGCGCTTGTTTGGCTTGTACGTGAATTACA